TTGCTCCAATACAAAATTTAACACTTTGTCTCGCTATAACTACAGAATTATATTTTGGATGCAACTCTCGTATAGCTCTCCGTCCAACAAAATTTTCAAACAATAAACAGCAAATAATATTTACCGATGTCGCCCATTTTATCCGAATGTTTCTTCAATTCGCGCAGCGTATCAATAAAATCATTTCTAGTAATATTATTTTTTTCTCTGTAGTCCATAGTCTCTAGAACAATGCGCATGAAGAACCTAGTCTTCTCCGATTGCGGCAGGATGCAACCATAGAGGATATCGAAGAGCCACGGCAAGTAGTCCTTGATGGCGAATCGTAGGCGATTCCAGAAGGACGGATGGGACAGAGTTCTTCCTATCCTGCGAAATTCGCTGTCCTCGTTCGACATTGCGTTCATCTCAATGCCGAACACGCAGCTACCTATGACGTCGGTCATGTATCTGGCCGTCATCTCGACACATTCTATAGGCTCATTTTTGTTCACTAATTTTTCCACGTGTTGGACAAGATGGTCAGAGCACTCTGATATTAACACGAACATCTCCTTTAGTTTACGAGATGTAAAAACAGGCGTCAGCTTTGCCCTTAATGGTCGCCATCTTTTCGAATCCAGTTCGAAAAGATTTTGCGACAGCGGATCGCCCTGCATAACAAAAAGAAAAATGCAATTGAGTAAAAGCTCAAAATTAAATTCCACCAGATTACAAAAACTCGCTTAACACTCAAGACCCTGCAACGTCGAGACTCGATATAATATTTTGTTTCAACAGCTCCATGCTTACGGAAAAATTATACTACAAAAGAACTACTGTAGGTGCAAAAGAAGTACATGAAACTATATGCTTTTCCATATCTTTTTCCATAAAAGCAGCGTCAAGCCAGATTCGTCATAAAGTATGCGCACCCTGTCATGAGAGCCGGACCATCTGTCGGGGAATATGGAGAAATCTTTGATAAGAATATCCTTAATTAAATCTGGATGTTTTACGATAAGTATGGGCGTCCTGCCAGCGAATATCCCAATCAACGGTTCATCTTTGTAGTCGTTGTATAGTTTTTTCATATAATCGCTCAAAGACACCTTTCCAAGTACAACGTTTTTGAAAGTCCCGAATCCTGGTATCGGTCGTGGACCAGAAACGCCGCGTGATTTCCAAAAGTCGAAAGTCGACGT